AACAAAATTAAATCAAACAGAAAAAAATAGTTAAAAAAAATTAAGTAATTTAAATTAAAGAACTTTAAATATTTAATAGCTAGCAACAAATTAAAACAATAAACCGTTTAAATTATAATTTAATTTTAACTTTTTTTTAAAGTTTTAAAAAAATAAAGCTTATATTTAACCTTAAATGTTTATTATTAGTTAATAAAATATATAACTTAATAATTTCGCTAAAAAGCTTTCTTAATATATTAGTTTTTATAAAACTTATATTATTTGTGCATTTATAATTATTATAGCTACTAAGCATATTATTATAAATAACAAAAAACTAATAATTATTAAGGATTTTATTAATTTATTGCTTGCTAAATTATTTATAACTTCTTTTTTAAACTAAGCATATATTTTGCTTAATAATAATGCTATAATTTAAAAATTACTAAAATTAATTAAATTAGCTATGCAGAAATATTTAAGTTAAAATATAAGCTTTAAACTTGCTTTTTATATTATATTTAATTTTTGCTTTTAAAAATTAAACCTAAAGCATTAGCATAAAAAAAGTACTAAAGTTTAATACAAACTTTTTAAAAAAATAGTTAAAATAGTTTATTAATTAGCTAACTTTATTATATATATATTTTATGTTATAAAAAGCTTTACTAACATTTTTAATATTATAGTTTTTTAAATTAATAAAAATTGCTGCATAATTAAGCTAAACGTTTTTATTTTTTTAACTAAGTATTTATTTATTATAATTAAACTATTTTTAAGCAATAATAAACAAATGTAGCTTTTTTTTTTTTTTAAAAATATTTATAAAACTAAAAATAATGCTTTATTATTTTTTAATTTTTTTGTATTATAAATATAAATACTGCTATTAAGTATGCATATTAAACGTACTTAAGCTATATTTATGCATTACTTATATATTAATTATTGTAGTAAAAGTAATATATTTAATTTTACATTTAAAACTTTTTATAATAGTAAAATAATAAAACTTAAATAACCTTAGATTTATAAAGCTTTACGTATTAGCAAAAAATTCTTTAAGTTTATTTTTTATAATAGCTATTTTAGTTTTTTGCTAATAATTATTATTAAAAGTAATAATAAAAGTATATTTAAAAATAATATAATTAATTATATTAATGCTAACTATGTTATATATTTAGTTTTTATGATTTAATAATTTAACTTATGTTATATAAACAGCAAACGTTTTTTTATAAGCATTATTACTTTATATAATGCTTAAGCAAATTTATTAAAACTTTGCTATAATAAATATAGTTCTGCTAAAATTTGCTTTAAAAAAATTAACATTTAAACTATTATTATAGCGCAAAGTTATAAATATAATCTTATTATTGCTAACTTTATTTATATTTATAGCTTTAGCTTTACTAAAAATAGCAATCTTAGCGTAGTTATTTTTATTTATGTTAAATATATTATTATTTACTTTTGCAATAATAAAGCATAATTAAGCATAAAAACCTTATGCTAGCTTAAAGACTTTAATATAACGAACTTATTATACATTAATATAACAGGTTTGCCTTTAGGGTCTTAATTTACAAGTAATAATAAGATCTTTAACAGTGGTTCATTAAAGAGGTTTTTAAAGTACTTTTACTATTATGCATTAATAAAAGTCTTAAAGGATTAAAAGTAATAAATATATTAATGCTTAGTAGTTATAAAAAATTAATAGCTAAAAAACTAAAACTAAATAAATAATTAAGTATAAAAAATATATAATTATATAAACAAAAAAAAGGTAAAAAAAGTAGTAATTTTTCTTAAACTATTGCAAGTTTAATAAGCACTAAATTATTGTAAGCTTAGTAAGCCTTAAATTACTATAAGCTTAGTAAGCCTTAAATCACTGTAAGCCTAATAAGCTAAGTAAGTTATTATATAACCTTAGCTTTAGCTAGCAAAAAAAGAGGTGCAAAGTATATATAAAGGCATTAAGCCGCTTTAAAGGCCACTTTTGCGCTAACTTTATAACATTTAACTAATATTATATTGCTAAAAAAGCTATACTTATTTTTAAAAAAAACTTTTAAAAATAACTATATAAATTTTGTTATATAAACTATAAACATAATTAATACTGCTATAATATTTTATGCTGTTTTATTTATAGCAATAATTATTATATTTATAACTGCAATAATAAGCTATAAAAGCTTAAATTTAAAGTTATACTAAAAAATCTATATAGTTTTATTATATAATATTTAAAATTTATATAAAACAACTAAGCTATTATTATTTACGCTTTAAAAGTTTATTATATAATTTAAAAAATAAAAAATTAAATTAAACTAATAGTTAAAAAAGCAAACAATAAATAAACTGCTATAAATACTAATTAATTTAACAAAGTTTAGCGTTATATTTAGTAAAACTTAAATAAACAATAAAAAAACTTTAAGCATTATAAAGCTAAAGCTAAAAAAGCAAAAATTAACTTTAATTTAATCGAGCTATTAATTCTTAAGTTTTTTTTTACTAAACTATTAACTTTAACTTTTTTACTAAAGTATATTATAAATAACTTAATAATAAAAAACAGTTTTAATTACATTATAAATAATATAGCTATTTATATTTGTTATTATTTTTATAATATATAATGCATGCTTGTTATTTTGCTAATTAATAAATAAATTACAATTATTTACTTTAAATTTTAGCTAGTTGTTTTTTTTAATACTAAACTTCTTTTAGTTTATTATTTAACACTTAAAAAAAAAAATATAATAATTATAGCTTTTATAACTTTATTATAAAAGCTATGCTAAAAACTATACTATAATACTTAAAGCAAAGCGTTTTAGTTTAAAATAACCTAAAAAAACTCGGTATAAAGATTTATGCTTAGCTTAATAATTTAATTAAAAAAATTCTGGTTTTTAATAGTAAGTTAACTAAAAAAAAAGCTATTAAAAAAATTTAAAAAGTTAAAATCCTAGTTGCTAAAAATAATAAGTTTAACAAAAAAAAAAAACCTAAGTATAAAAATAATAAAAATATTATAAAGCAAATTAAAGTTAAAAAGTCCTAGTAATAATATAATAATAATAAAAGCATTATAAAAACATAATTCTTTTTTTTTAAAAGGAAAGTTATTAAGTTATATAACTTAGCACTTAATTTATAGCCTTACAATATATATATTATAGCTTATTACTTTATAAGCTAAACCTTTAGCTAGCTACTTAGTTAGTTTTATCACACTTTCAAGTTTTAACCATTATAAAATACATAGTGTATTAAGCTTTATTTAATGCTAGTACGCTTTTTGCCTCTTGTTAGTGCTTTCGCTATCCATGATATCTATAAACAACAAAATACCGGTCCTAGGAACTTGCTAGGCCATCTATTTATATAGATTAAGTCAAAGCAAGTGTTAAATAACCAAAAAGTGAAGCCTGAGACATCAAATGCTACGATAAGTTATTTTCATATGACAGATAATACCTTGGTGGTGTTGACGCATGCTATGGTTTTATCTCGAGTGCTAGGATCGCAGCATAAGGTAACAGACTGTATATACATATCTTACACCTTTAGATAAGGAGAAGTATTGCGCGAGGGGCTTGTTGTTCACCCTTCTTTCTCGATTCATGCTGATATCTCGGGATGATCAACAGCTTACGGCACTTGCAGCATTCTTATCGACCTGCGGCCATAAACTAGCCGATGTCTCATAGACAACGTGGTCGAGGTCGACTGGTACGTAAAAGATAGGGGAATGTCCAGTTAGAGACTTCGTTCTTATGAAATCGACTCAGTTCTCAGAACATCAGCAGACAAGGTAGAGGGAGGTTGCATGGCCCTATTTTAAATTAGTTTCCAGGTAACATCTGCTCGAACACGGAATTCCGGTACTGAGAATGTCCCCGGGAAGCATGATACTAGATATATCGTGTATTGGCATCCTGATACAGAAATCTCCCCTCGCTACTCCAGAGATTGTTTGTTCACATATCAGCATCCTCCTATTTCCGATTCGGCCTAACAATTTCTCTCCTATTCGTGTAGACCCTACGCTCCTCGAATGCTTCCTAGTTCTAGTGAATCTGACTCAAACCGTCTCGTAACCTGTCCGTCAATGATCAAATGTGACTGTCTTTTCCCCTTCCCCCTTCCCCCTACCCTCATAGTCGGGAGGGGAAAATACCCATGAAAGAGGAAGCAACTAAACGCGATAAGTCAGTTTAGTCCAAGCGGAAACCGGCCCAGGTACTAGTGCTTGCCGAAACACGCCTTGTTGGCATGCAAGCTTTGCCGACTTACATATGTAAGTAGCGTCGTCGTCCTTAGCGTCCTTTTCTCCTTGCTAGTAAAAGGCGTCCCAAGGGTAAAGCAGAGGTTTTATGTTTACATTGACTATTGCTTCCACTACTGCATATGTTCTACTTCTAATTATATAGACGAATCACCATGTGCAATTTCAACTTGATTAATAGCTCATCTAAGCTAAGAGGGGCTGGTTATTCAATATCTCATCCATTGTTATGAACGACGGTAGTTGCCGGTTGCTTGATCCACGTGCCTTGGGCCCATTTTAACATTTGTAAGGGTTCATCAAGGCATACCAAATCTCAATGTGATTAAGAATTCTTAAATAATCAAGTAGTATGTATTAAAAAGCTTAAGACGACATGAATAACTAAATTTTTTTCTTGTTTCTTATAGAAAATTTCAATTTTTAACATCATCCCAATTGACAAGGCTATGCATTAGCTTCTTTATCTACATAATGCACCTATTTTCTTAGTGTCTTAATAATCACACGACTTTAATTAAAATATTTGTTAGTTGCTTCATACTTTCTTAATGAGTCTAGCGGTGAGATAAAGGAGTAGAAGTAAGTATTAACAATACTGATACACTCTGCCACAGTATTTGATGCGGATTTGATGAATTTGTCTCATTTGTTATATGCCCAAACCAGGCGTGGAGTTGACAACAAAGTCGATTCTCGATTGGTCTAGTGGTAAGGATACCTGCTTGTCAATAAATTCTGTTGACCCTACGTTTGTGGATTCGATGAGCACAGAATTGCAGATCGCAGGTGGCCGGGGTTCGATTCCCCGATCGAGAGAACTTTTTGCTAACTTTGGCTAATTTTTCTACTCTACCACTTTCTTCGACATCTCATTTATTTTTGTATTTGAATGCGGGGTAGTGCAGGATTTTGGGTTTTACAGTTAGTAATAAGTGTTAAAGCGCCTAGCCAATAGGTTAGGTTTATTCCCCAGCTCACCTTTCACCTTTCCTCAACATATCAATGACTCGAAAAGACTTTAAGACGACATTGATCTGCCTCTTTCATACGTAGGCCATGACTTGTTTGGTATGGTGGCTGTAAAAGGAGTCCTTACAATGCTAGTATTAAGACAAACTACCGCGTGCGGTGCGATTTGTGGCTAAGCAGAAGGAGGTAGTAATGTCTCAGTCTATGGCCAAGAGTCCGAGCTTTTTCAGCTCTGATCTAAATATCCTCTATAAAGCCGCCCTAACGCCATCCCTAATACACTATAGAGTTGCCCTGATACCAATCGGGCCAACCACCTCCCTGCGCGCCTCCCCTTCCCTCGTCCCAACAGCGACCGCAGTCCGGTTCCCTTGGTGAATCGTCCATTTGATTGGCCCTTCGGGTAGTTCCTCGACACCCAACAGCTCTGTCAAGCCGCCAACAAGAGGGACGACTCCATGCTCGTCTCTCGACTGGCCGCCGTACCGCTCCGGTATACACTCGATGTCGATCTCCTCGAGCAAGGTGGTCAAGACATCCGCCGGCGGCACTATCACTAGCTTCTCCGCGGTCCGCGGGTCAAACCAGCCCTTCAGAAACGACCAGATCCTGGGGAAGTAGGGCGGGGCGTTGAGGACGTAGATCGTGTCGACCACCTCGGGGTAACACGTCGCCAACAGCCCCGTGATGCTCTGCGCATACCCCCGGATGCTCCAGGCCTGCCGCAGGGTAAGAGACGCTATGTCGGCCAGGTACACGGCGCCGGAGACTGGCTTCTCCGGGTCGGGCCGGTCCGGCATCATCGAGCAGAGCGGCAGCGCGAAGCGCGTCAGGTAGTCGAGCGAGGTGATGGCCCGGCATGTGATCTGAGACGCACTGTACTTGCGGTAGTTCGCGAGGTTCGCGCCGTCCACTGCGAACATTCGGGGTCAGTAATCGCACCCCCTCCTCGAGCGTGAGTGATCAATAAGGGGTGGGGGTTTTTTTCTCTCGAAAGCATAGAAACTGCCTCTCAGGCGCGCCGAGCATGAGTCTGTCTCCGTACCCCGGGGAAGGAATGGGGTCAGCGTAGTGCCGGTGGGATAGACTCACGATTGGCCGCGTCAAGGAGACATATTGGTAGACCGCGTTTGGTTCGCTGGCCTGACCAATGGGGATACTAAGGATCCGAGATGTCAGTTCGATGCACTAGAAGGCGAGGCCTCTGAATGGGTAGAGAGGGGTAACGGATCAGACAAATGTGACTACGCACTATGTTGCGCAAGCGTTCAAAGTCGTCAATATCAATGCTGTTGTATGCTTCCGTTGCATTGGAGGAGTTCCGAATTCCTTGTGCTTCTTTGAACTGCTGCAGGGCCCCAGGGACGTCGAATGAGCGGGCGCAGAGAAACCTCCTAGGGAATTATTAATGTTTGGTTGTGATATGGGAACGAGGTAAGGCTCTGGTACAATAAAGTGATCTCATCGTGTATGCCATCTAGTGTATCCTCATCTGACAAGCCAATAGGGCGGTCGAGTAGCCCATGTTCGCGACATTGCTTGACGAACGACTCGAAGCATTGTTGTTGACGAGCTGTGAGCCCGGCGGTGCAGCTGTTGAGCTCTCCGATCTCTATCTCGCTTGCTCTTGGCTTTTCGAGGATGATCTCGTCAACTTGTATGCTCTCCATTTCGTGCGGTCTAGAGTTCCCGGGTAAGTGGTCGAGGTCGTACGGCAGAGGGTCCGTTTTCATATAAAGGATACGGCTAGACTACTAAGTAGAATTGGCTGACGGACACCGGTCCGCGCGGGGAATTCTGCACCTTTGATCTACCGCAGACAAAGACAGAAAGATTTGTAACAGATCTACGGTAGTGTACGACCTGAACCTGCATTTATTGCGCTTGGCGCGTTCTGTGCTACCTTTTCGGGCCAGTTGCGTACGTAGTATCATTGTGGCTTCGCCTCTGGAGCATCTGTACATGATCGAAGATGTAGGGCTATTCGGGCAGCTCGGGTACTGAAATACAAATACTTAGCAATATGGATGGTGTTGGGGATGTACAGTATCTGTAAACCGTGGATCATTTGTGGCGGGGGATTGAATCTAGGGAGTAAAGGAAGACGCGATTGGAGGAGGCGTGGAAAAGCCTCAGCTGGAGGAGATTTCCTAATTGTGCTAAGCGCGTCCATAATGCTTATATCTCTGGCTCTATTTGAATCGAATTTATGTAGGCAAAAGAAATAAGGATAAGGATTCTGCATATTACGTGAAGTTCTTGCAGATGTGTAATCGGGAAAATCCATCTAAGGTTAGACCGTGAGCTGTTGCAGTCTCGCCTCTACCCAAGCACCGTAACCAGCAAAGAGCGCAACATGCTTCCATGCTTCACAAAACTCGGCAATAGCCGTGTATCTCTCCCTGATATATCCCTCCTTGCCTGTCTGATCACGCAGCTGGAGTTCGCAGGCGATGGCGTGCGCTATTTTTTCCAAGCACACCGGACATAAGTATGGTGGCTGTCTCACATCCTCTGCAATGCATGACGTCCCTTGAAGATTGCAGGCGTAAAAGATGCAATGGCCTATTCCGAAGCAGTGTCCCAGTTCATGGACCAATGTGCGAGCCACGCGCGAGAACCATAAGCCATTGAGAGCCTCGAGAGTTGGTGGCGTCGAGACCTTTTTAGCTACTTCAACGGCCCGCCTCAGCGGTGAATCTAGAGTCTCGTATCTCGACTTTATATGTTCCTGCGGCTCCAATTCTTCTACGGCACATAATCTGTCGGTAAACTTCTTGCAATGTGAAGTTGGCCACATGTGTTCATAGTCAATGCTGTCCTCATCTAGGGCTGGATGGTACCTGGCTGAGGATACAACGCACACACGACTACCGCCGTATGCCCTTCCGCAACAGAAATCGTCTTCAGCGTCCTCGTACATGTCAAGATCCATGAGCAGAACCACTGAGTATGCATCCTCAGGGAGCATCGAAATAGCCGCATCAAGGAGATCACCTAGATTCAACTGTCTCTTGAACTTCTTGTCCGGAGTTTCCCGGATACGAATACGAGTGCAGTAATCATTGCACGCAAGACCAACATAGCCATGATTGTTTGTTGACCTAGCGCGCTGTGAAGGCTCTGTCCATGGCACGAAGCGCAGCTGTTGGGGAAAGCGTTTGACAGGAAGGCCATGGTAGAATACGCCGAGGTAGTCTAGAAGGGCGTCGACCGCGGGCGGTTTGAATTCTCCATGGCTATCTGTAGGAGCCGTTGCGGGCTGCTCCCAGCCATTCATGAAGCGCACACTTGGTGTGACGGTCGGTGGAGCAGCTATATAGAGCGTCTTCCGTTTGGGCGTCAGCTTATTGCGTCCAGTTTCCCTGAGCCACGATCGGAAGGACTGGGGTGGACAGTCAGGATCCCAATTGAGCTCATCCTTGGGCAGCAGGAGAGGGCCAGGAAACGAGGGCGCGAGCCGTTCAGCCGTCTCCCGACTTAGCTTCTCGATCGCCTTCGCAGATTTCCCTTTCGCTGCAAGAGGATTACGGCCTGAACTTGTTGTCGCGGCGAGTCGTTTACCAGCATCGGGTCGCTCGAATCCTGCCTCCTCAGCCCATGGTGAGCAATCCAGGAGCAGCTCATCGTGGTGACAGGCTCCTTTGGTGGTCATATCCACGTCGCGGAAACGCAGCGGTTCCTACTACGTATACACGGTCCTTCTCGACAATGGCATCTAACTGCACACAGCTTTCCTTATAAATAACCCGTCCATTTCACGATTCTGCCTTGGGACACGTGCTGTGGCATGCGAAGGCTGTGCTGAAAGATGGCTTGGTCTAAGTTGGTGGCTGTGTTACAAGAGGTTCTATCTACCCTCTTATAAAAGAACATCCCACTGGAGCGACATGTCGAAAGCATGCTAACTGGGTATAGTGGCAGATCCATATAGGAGGGCCTAGTCAGTTCCAACCACCATACCAACGGGATAGGACAAACCCTTGAGCTCTATAACGAAAACATCAATTGGACTGGGGGCAATCTAGTCGCTGCATTTGCTAGGTACAGGTATCTACGCATAAGGTAGGAAATTTTAATGTTACTAATTTTTCTCTCCATCTACATATGTAGGTATTCGGTATGGTATCCATCTAGGTACCTAGGTAATGCATCTAACGGGAAAGATTGATTACCACATGCAACCTGTAGGTAGGTACCAGCCGATCAGCAGACTTACATCATCTCGGTAGTGCCAAGGAGAAAAGCATGTAGGGACGGTAATCTAAGCCCCTAAGCCCCATGGGCATATACCTTATGTAGGTAGGTAGTATATTACCTACCTAGCCCTAGCAGAGCCCCCAACTGCCTTTAGCTCCCGGCAAGTATACCTGGGTGTTACCTGGTACCGCAGCTGAGAGACATACAGATCGATGTAGGTACTTTGTACAACATCACAAGCATGCTGTAATACCGAAAGCTTGGCATTATTCCCACCTCGTTGCGTCTTTTCTACACTACTTGCTCTAGAGACAAGTCGATCATTATCTCCGCCTCTCCTTTCGTGGTGTATCGTCGGCCGTTCTGCTGATTGTGCACGCTCAACCTTACGTGTCTGCCCTACCCAATTCGACAAATTGCTACATGCTATCGAGATATCCTCACGTGTAGATATCTGTAGCAAGAAATTGTCACCCCATCCCATACAGCGGTCAGAGGGGCTGTGTGACACGTCACATTGCGAGTTTCGCCTCGCTTCGTCCGACCGATTATTACTGTCGTGCCTCTGCGCGTTTTGCAAAGGACAAAACTCATAGATCACTCAGGTTGACAGCTCGCTGCTATGGCTGTCGATCCGCCAGTTCCAAGTCTCCCGCCGCTGCTTCTGCTGCCGGCTGAGATCCGCAATGCCATCTACGAGCATGTCGTCAACAGCGAGTGGGGTCACACTTCGCAGGATTACTTCGTCCTTGACCGACCCTTGCCTGCTCTCTTTCGTGCCAACAGGCAGATCCGGTCCGAGGCCCTGGATGTCTTTCTGCTCAAGAACCATTTCCATGTTTATACCAGCACCATTGGTCTCAAATGGCTCCATATCCTTGGCAAAGACGTCGACAGGTTCCGCTTCCTCATTCTCTTCATTGATCTCAATCTCGAGGCATGGCAGAGATATCTCAGGGCCCTTTTACCCTCCGTCTCAAACGCTCTAGAACTAAGGATTCGAAAAGCTGCCGTCAGCTTATCCGATTCCCGGCTTGAGGCATTTCTGCACACAACAGGACTTTACGACCGGAATCGTTGGGCTAGCGAGAAGAATGGCGCCGGCGAGTTTGTCTTCAAGCAGATTCCAGCTTAGTCTGTCTATTACCGACTCGAACCCGTCTCTTCTTCCCTTCGCACGGCGATTGCTTGTATTGTGTCTTATTTCCAAGCCCATAACTGTGGGGTCACATCTTTTGCATATTAAGTCTTTGCCAACCGATGTGATAGGCACAATAATGGGAGTTCTGTTGATTGTAAAATAGGAGCATGCATGTCTAACCCACAGGAAGCCCTTTAAAATGTACCATAGCTAACGGGGATACAGAGCAAGGGTGAACGATTTTATCTCCCCAAGAGGCACGATGATGTACAGTACTGGCCAGCTCTAGGTCCCATCAACATAGACGCAAATATTATGATATATTTTCACCCAGAGTAGCTTTGTCATTGTCACGGCGCAGCAACACTCATGACTCGTGCCAACCTCTGCAAGCCACATAATGCTACTCAGAGCTTCCCTCCTCCTTATAGGGCTTCTCTCAAGACTCGTAGGAAAGAAACGCAATCCTATTGTATTCTCTCCTCGCCATCGCTCCCACGATATCAGATCCTGCCACATTCGTGCTTGCTAATATTACAATAGAGTAGCGCAATATAATTGATTCTCTACCATTTCGATGATATACTTAGCTTTATTAACCCTAGTACGTTTAAAGGAATATGCTGAAAAGGGTGGAACCATAAGAGAACTTGTGCAAAACTGCTTCCCTGCTTATCATGATCAAATCTGCTACACGTCGAAGTGACGACACAAACTTCCTAACCAAAATGTCACCCTCTGGTGCCTAGACGAGGAAATTCGCAGAAGAATACACTCGTATGTAAATAAGTCGCTCGTGTCAGGTCAGGCTACTAGCCAACTCTTTCCCCGTATCACTTTCACCTCATTTTCTCGAAACATAATTTTTGTCTCTTTCCCCGTAGAATGATTAGCATTCCAACTCCATTTAGCCACTTGGATATATTGAATAACACAAGTGGGACATATTAATTATTGCCAAACGTTTTCTCTACCAAGAAATAATAAATGCAATAAAACGAAACGAAATGAAAGTAGAATAATTATATAGCAAGTTATTTTACAGGATTTCAGTGATCTTTTAACTAATCATAATATCATTTTCACCCCTCCTTTCTACATCCTCCGGACAATGACTAGATCAGATAGCATCAACAAGCAGCCAATAGCTAGAATTCGAGGCCAAACCAGTTAGTCTTTAGTATCCTGTGTAGTGCTATACTTGAAATTGAAATGTGTGTAGGCTACCTCCATTCAGTCAGGTACGAATTTCACATATATCGCACCTCGGTCGTTTCAGGAAGAGTTGCCGGCACCTTGATGGGTCTTACTGAACTTTCTCTTCTTGAAGCTATGAGGATTAACAGCTTGCATCAGTATTTGCCTACATCTTGCAAAGCAGATACCAACCGACTATTCTGTCGTCAAGGACCTAGCACCCAAGGTATCTAGCAATATTCGAATAGGGACTTGTATCTCGGCAAATACACTATCTGCGATGAAGTTTCATGGGAGACCTTGATGATGAGGTGGATCGTAGGAGATGAGACTTGGCTGTTTGATGTATACGTTGTATGAGAAGGGGTCGTGTGCTTGTGTGAGCCTGTGTGAGAAGGGAGGACTGTAGGCGGAGGCGGAATCAAAACCCGGAATCACGAGTCTCTGTGATTGCATGGCAGATATACATGTGTACGAGGAACTCTGTGGCGAGGGGTGGCTTGCATCGCCACAGGTGATTTTGCAGGAACGTTTCAAGTACTAAACCTCACTCGCAAGGCTTCAAACCACGACACTGTTACCTCTGAATTCCCACTTATTATCGTGGTTTATTTTTAGTTGTCACCTCAGCGTCACAATGTAGATTAGATATGAGCTAAGCTGCCCACAATAGAGATGCGACTTAGTTAAACATATATGGCGGCTACGGTCAACCCGGGTATCTTATTTTCACACAATGGCTTTGCCGGATTTCACAGTCTAGTACAATGGCGCATTGACCTCGATAGCTCTGTCACCTGGAATATCAGAATACATTTACACTTCACACAAAACTATAAATACCCCAAGGCCTGCCCAACCCAAGTCTACTTCTGATCTTGTTCCTCTCATAACTCTACCTCTCTCTAGAGAGCAGTTGACCGGCCCTTCCTTCCTTAGCTGCATTATTGGTGCACTTTGCAATACACTCGCCAGCGGTAGGTGATTTTACCCCTAGTTCCTCCATATTACCACAATCAAAGAATCCTCCTCACTGCTCCTCCATATGTGCTCGTGCACATTTTCTGACTTCGTTCGCAGACCAAGCAAGCTACACTACATAGTAGTACTCAATCATACCTCACGGCAAGACAGAAAATCACACACGTCGCTCTAGCAGCTATCAACATGGCGGGAAAAGTAAGCATTATAATTTTCCCTAGGGCTTATTGTCCAAGACTGCATGCTAATCAATCGAGAAGAACCCCATCCTCGACGTGCCAGCTGAGATTCGCCTCATGATATACCGACTTGCGATAATCAAACGCCTCACAGGGCACCATGCCAGTCCTCCTGACGGCTTCGTCTGCAGCCTTGTGCCTCCACCTCTGGCTCGCGTCAACAGGTTGCTGCGTCAAGAGGTTATTCATGAATATTACACCAACAACGAATTCTGGATACAGCTCCCGCTCTTTAAAGGCGAGGTCCAGGAGGCATTTCATTCCCGATTCAAGATCGCCTCGCCTTTCATCCCGATGATCAGAAGCTTGCGCGCTGAGATCTACCCGGGAAATAACGCGACCTGGTCTATCGTATTCGAGGCCACCACTCCAGAATCGGTCAGGAGAGTAGATTTCGGTCCTTCTAGGCGTCTTGGCACCGCGTTTTACTGGCGCATTCTAGCTAAGATGCTTAACGGCATGACTCTATATGAGCTCTCGCGGTATGGAGGTGCTATGGAGGATGAGAGCAAGGCGGTCGGAATAAATCACCTTGTCGTGAGCGATGCATTGTATATGCTCGTCGATCGCTCCTCTCTAGCAGATCTTCCTCTCCAAGCCGTCTTTTACCATTTACGATAAGATAATTGAGGCGGAGTTCTGGAGGAGGGGGGAAAAAGAGTATGATTTAATCACATGTAATCGGGAAGGTTCAGAGGAGCAATATGGGGGAGGACTGAGAATATGATATTAGTGAAGCTAGGGGCTACGGCTTCATAACCTTTGACGAGAGCATGACCTTGATTTTTGGGGAAACTGATCTTTAGTGCCTCGCTGCTCGGCGAAAAAATGATGAAAGAGATTCTTTTGCTTAAAAGCAGGAGAGTTAGTCGATAGTTATTGTCAATCTGTGCACCTCCTCAACTTATAGTTTACTTTAGACTCTGGTCATGCATGTGACAAGGCGAGATTCATTTTTGAAATAGGCGCAGCACCTAATAATAACTTAAATTGTGGTGTTCTAGAGCTTGATAATCCAGAAATATTGTGTATGTTCATAGGCTGTTCATCATCAATCAGCCTGTGGCTAAGTCCAAGGATATGCTCAAAGTTTGATGAAAACACAAGCTGAACGCTAAAGGAAGGAAAATAGAAAGAACAAAATAAAAATCAAAGGTGCTCTTATCTCTCCGAATCGGGGAATCGAACCCCGGGCTTGACGGTTCTTCACGAGAGCGTCAAATGTTAGCCACTACACCAATTCGGACTCGGCAGCAGACTTATCCACTAGCGGAATCGAACCGCTAATCTCATTATGGCACTAGCAAGACGAGTTGCTTCGGAATAGATACTGTGTGACACGCTGTACCATTTAGCCAAGCAGGCTGTTGTCTATAAACAGTGGCTTTCAAGAACCTGAGGTACCTTGTCGCGAGAGTTGCCAAAAAGAGTGGGAGAAAATAGTCCGAACAATAGGCATTACGCAATATTGATGAAGGTCCGGCATAGAATTTACCTATGTAAGGTGTTGATAATGAAAATAAATGGCTTAGATCGACACTAGGATGTACTACGCAGATAAGGCTCTAGAGACTTTGTATCAAGTTATAACTGATTATGAAATCGATTCTCAATAAATCCCGCTTTATGTATTGTAGACGGAGAGGAGAAATAATGTCAGGATGTCTTGGGTATCGAAATATATGATCAGTAGATAGCCAATGCAGCAGACCTGATGGTCGCAATAATCAAAAATGTAGTTTAATAAAGACCAGCAACCAATATACCAAGCCCGTGACTAGAGCTCATAATGAACATAAGGTAACTAAAAACGAAGAAACAATAGATGAAAAATGTTAATTGGCAATGATGGCGGGGGCTTTGCTTGCTCTGCTCTCCCCGAATGCATACTAAGTAGCTACCTCTACTTCGAAGCTACCATTTTACTTCATGAGAAGCTGTTCAAAGTCTTATAAAGTGCAAGCTCGCATAGATCAGGGGATGATCTACTATAAGGTTTTGCTTTTATAGCTTACGAGGCTGTGCTTTAGATAAATCGTAGCGTGTCATAAATATCCCGAGGTCCTTATTTAAAGCAAGGATAACGAAGGGATAGGATATCCTGAGCAACTTTTTGAAGCAAGCTTCGACGACCAATTGGAGCCACGAAATAGAAGGAAATAATTTTAGAACTTGTTTTCTGTGGTCATGTGCTGGCAGTCATATGCATGCACAGGATTTGTAGTGTGCTTTACCCCTTTTCAGTGTTTTAGTACCTAGTGGAAGCGTCTCCCAAGTACATTAAAACTCCTTATAAAGGGCGAACGTTTTAAAAACTTGACGTAGGGAGACCGGACGCATATGAGATAGTACTGTAGGCTTCTCCATATACTGCCGGAGATAATGATGATCTTAGCCCCGGGCATAGCCACATAATTCTAGTCATTCGGCGTGCTTTGGATGATCTATCGCCAACTCAATGCAGAATTGAATATGAAGGCAACCACAGAATCCCTAGAGAGACTGTTCAAGTAATAAATATTGTTGAGGCAATTGAAACCTGAAAGTCTTCTGTTTCTTTGTACAAGCTCGTCCGCACCCCAGAGCCCTCCCCCAGATCATTAGCTCAAAGTACGAGCCACATGCACACATAAATCTTGCAAGTTCACGGCACAAAATGGTTCGCCCCAGCCAACTCCGAGCGGCTGTGGCCGAGGCGAAACTGAATAGCGCTGGCAATGACGAGGCGACTAAGCCGATGGACTTGGAGGCCGCTGGGAAGGAATTTGGCGACTATTCAAGCACGTACTGGCCCGCCGGTTGGAACTTTGACCGTTTCAGCAAAGCCAGCAGCCTGGAGCTGCTCCAGGAGCTTCCCGAGGGAGAATATGCCAAGCTGCAAGCAGGGATCCAAGAGGCCCTCGATGAACCAGCGAGAAAGCGACTATCAGAGTACCTAGTTCAGCTGGCGCGAAAGAAGATAGTGGACGAACAGGCTGCCGGGACTCCCGCGGCTCCTCAGGCGCAAACGAACCCTGTGGCACCGGATTGGCTTCGCCAGTGGACGCGTCGCCACCGCGACCGTACCTGGGGCTTTGTCGCTGTGAAGACGGCGAGTTATGATGACGGGGAAAGATGGAACGAATTCAAGGCCAGGATCCGCAACATTATGGAGATTCCTTTCGAGCGTGACATCGACAGCAGCTCCGCCTCCGCCGTTACGGAAGACGCCTCGGCGGCCAGGGCAAAACTGGAGCTTCACTGGATTGAAGACCCCGGACTGGACGGGCAAACCGATCCCGACATCCTTCGGGACCGGTACAGTCAGATACGACCCTCCCTACCCTCAGGTCAATCTCAGAACGTCTTTCTCGTGGCGTCCAAAGATGCGATTGCCTCGGTTCTGGACGATGCCACTGATCAGAAGACCGATGAAGCGGCTTCGTCTAACCTGCCGCGTTGGCGGTCCAAAGCACCGTATGTCCTTGCCGTCTCAGCAGATGCGGATCCAGGGCTGGAGGAGGGTCACGAGGAACGAGAGTGGTTCAAACCCGTCTTCAGAGTCGCGGCTGAAGTACTAGTCGATGAGTTCTGGCACCTTCTAGACTCGGATTTCATGCCTTTGAGGAGAATCACGAGATACATCAAAGGAACGGACTTGGATGGTCAGGTATTGGCTACTGGAGATTATGACGATGACCTGGAAGATTTATGGTGGTCTATGGCTCCTTCACCTCAGCGGCTGAGGAAGAGAAGACAAGTTGAAGAGAGGTTCACGTAGACGCATCATAAATAAAAGAGTCTCGTTGAAGCCCAATATTTCATGAAAACACTAAAATGCGGCAAGGCTGATAGTTCAGGGTTTAATATCTAATCTTGCAAGCTTTCAGCGACCAAAAATCGGATTTTCGGGGTATCTTCATTAATACATTACGAATAAAACAGCGTCACACACATAACCGTTGCTAGAATCCAGAACAAATCTCCCTCTCTCCTGCCCCCAGCATTGGGTGGCGCATTTGTCTCGCTCGTCTGACTAGTCGATGAGGTTATGGTCCCAGTAGACCCGGATCGGCTGGGAGTTGCAGTTGAGGTAGAGCTCGCCTTAGTTGTCGTCGCGTCAGGTGTCGTTGCATCAGTTGTCGTCACACCAGGGCTACTAGACGTCCTTTGATCCCAGGCCAATAGCTTATAACACTGTCCAAATCCAATCACAAATTCTAAATTTCCTATCGCTGCCTCGTCGTCGGGTTGAACCACACTTTGGCAGTCGCCGCTAAGCAGTGATTCCGCCTCGTTCAGTCCGTGGTCCTCTAGCCAGATGCCAGCGGCTGAGATATAGCTAGACAATGCAGAAGTCACTGACGGCGTAGCGGAAGGGATTTGAGTGGAAATGATATAGTCGCATAGAGTAGTGTGATTTGAGACGGTCGCCGCGGTCGCGGTTGCTCCATAGTGGGTGTAGAATGCATTGAGGCCGTCATTCAGGGCATCATCCACGGCCTTGCCATCGGCAGGTGGGGGATATTCGCTGAGAAGAGTGGCGAGGGGAGTGCAAGAGGCTGGAATACCTGCAGGTATGTCGAGAGTAGTAGTAGTCTTGGCCGCTGTTGTAGGAAGAAACAATGCGACAAGGATAAGCATGGCGGGTGCCACGACTGTGGAACGATCGCCTATCATCTTCAACGTGGGTGACCAAAAGACTTAGACTATTTGAGAACGAACGATGGCCGAAGTGAAAATAGAATTATTATGCCTTGAGTAGAACTAAATAAGTGATTGAGGCTAATGACTGAAGTAAAATAAACCTAGCAAATACGAAAACCCTCTCGCGTGAGTGAATTTTTGCGAAGAAACTTGCTGTCTCCTTTTCTACCGTGTCTCGTTGTTAGCTTAGATGGATGTAAATAAGATTAAACATAGGCGCATGATGCCGCATGTGGTTACTTGGTGTGATTATAAGTGGAGTTGCTAAGCGACTCGTGCCAGAGCCAGAAACGAATATTTGCTTACTTCAAGAGGAGATTGGTAAAGAATGTTCATGATGCAAAGACATGGTTTAAGTGTAGGCTCCGTCGGGTCTGTGAATTCAGTGCGATACTGATGAATGATTGATAATATTAACATTAATGTGTAATGTCTCATAGTACAGCTATTTAGTGCACTGCGTTGTATGCTTAGTACAGATATCTATTTAAAATCTCACGAAAAGCTGAGCCTGCAGATGAGGCCAGCTACCTACCTCACTACAATGATGATTTCCTACACTTCGTAAATACTTGAACGCTTCACATAAAACTTATACATTAAACCCATTTAAACAAGTAATCACTCATTAGTTGTTGATTTTTATACCTGATCATTCCAATGTTGAGAATAATGATTATCTGAGGTGTTGAACAGATGGTCTAATACTCAATGCCCTCACCATGGCTTAGTAACGGTAAGTACCTGGGTAGTCCACTAATCGCTTCCTCTCTAGTGGACAATCGGCAATTCTGCGTCACAAACAAGCGCAACTTAATCGTTAGCTAGCATAGCTCTATTCAATAGAACATCTTCATCTCTACCGAAGAGCCAATAGTGTTAGTTTCTACGAGATTGGATTCTAATTTAGATACGCAATTCTATCTTAAAATCATCACCCGCTATTAAGCAGCCAGCTGAAAAGAACATGGTTATTTGGTTCGATTGCTTGATTGACTCTAATACTCCCTGATTCGTTAAACCACAATCCGAGGGGGCGACGAGATGAAGTTTGTTTCAAGATTGTTATTCTTTGATCTTCGCAACAGCTTTACGACACACCTTTTCAAGGCGACGCATGTACCGCAAGTGTTCTATTTACCGTTCATGTAAGAGATAAATGTGATGTTCACCGTATCTGTACTCCAGACGTATACGGTCTGAATATTGACAATAGGCTTCGGCAGGCTGTCTGACAATGCTAATGTCTTTATCATTTCAATGTTCTGAATATACATATTTGCTAGAGAGGGTTCCTTGCCATGCATTTTGAAGGAAGCCAGAGAGCTGAAGAGGTTGTACAGCGGGTGCAGGCATCTCGATGATTATACTCTGAGATACGGGGGCCATAGGTGATTTGTATGAGATCCAAAAGTTCTCGCAGTCAAATGCATAGTGAGGTAGTTTGAGAAGCCTGACTAAACTCTTGTAGTTCTTGTGAAATTCTGGCCAGTTAACTGAGAGTCCAGTCTCATAGGCAGGCAGCCTTCCAAACAAAATAGTGGAACAGGAGCTATACGGAGCTGAGTATAAACTCGAGACAATATGACAGTTCTAAGTCACGTGTATATACAGCTAAATGGAGATCTAATTGCAAGGCAAAAAGATGGTGTACTTAATTAAGGTCATCACGCATTTTA